TGGCTCTTCCCTGCTTTATTGCCGCTGTCTTTTCAGGTTAAAAATGCTGTCTAATCTCAAAAGTACTTGAGTCTTTCCAGTCTGGTAATTTTACTCCACAGCAGCTCTGTCCACAGCACCAGAGACATTTCTCAAAGGGAAAATCAGATCAGAGGCTCAGTGGATGGAGCAAACATTTTTTTTTCTTTTTTTGCCATACTTAAAGGGATCATAAATTATTCGTCATCTGCCTTGGGGGCTATTATCATAATTCAAACCCATTACTCYTGAAGCTTTTGAGCACTTGCCCATCTCACCATCTTGTTTTATTAAATTTCAATGACAAATGATGGGCAGCTCCCACAGACAACGGGAGGCAGAATTTCCACTGCCTGGATCAATTCCCTCCCCTCCTGCACAAGCAGAAACTCCTTGCTGGCTGATATTAATGCTCCAGCATGTATGGATTTCATTTTTCTGGGTGAAAACTCACTTGTGGAACCAGATTTCACCCTTGCCTTGGCTAATGAAGATAAGAGAAGGGCAGCCAGGTGCTCACAGGGAGGCTGAGCAGGGGCAAACATCCCCTTGCAGATGCTCCTTGGGTCTGGAGAGGTCAAAAATGTGGCCAATTTGACCCATTCTCTTCCCTGAGGAGAGCAGTCAGTGTAAAGTAACTCACTGCACAGGTTTGCATTAAACAGGCTGTGTTTCATCRGGGCTGAGCAGAAATTAATGAATGAAGAAGCTGAGAAGCTCATCCTGCCAAACAACGGCCTTAAGGGAAGAAAACCCTTCTATTTCTCTCATGTCAGATATATTGGCTAAAATCCCTGGAGAGCTGCTAATACGGATACAACCTCCCCATGAGAATTGCCAATAAAACAGCAGATTGCAGAAATTACAATAAAATGGGTTTTTGGCAGAGCCTTCCCCGTGCTCTTTGCCTTGTGCTGTCTGCATGACAATGACAACGCTGCTGCTCCAAAAATGGAATGAAAACTCTTCCAAGAATGGGTTCAAATGGSCAGAGAGGAAACCTGGAGATACTCTCCCTTCATTCAATCAGAAAAGGTGGGCCATGSATTGTGTTGTTACCAGTCAGAAACTGGGACCAGTTCAATCAAACAGAAGTCTGGAAGGGCTCATCTTTAAAGATGCATGGTTATTCTTCATGATGGGCATGGCCTAGCTCTCAGAATTATCAGTTTTTATCTGGAGCAATGTTTGAAACAAATAAAAGCTCCCCTGCTGGATGTCAGAGGCGCTTGGCAAACATCAAAGGCCCATTTTACATCGCGCTGATGATGCGACTCTGCGGTGTCAGGGYTTGTCTTTCACAGATAACAGGGAAAAATTCCCATTTTCACAGCTCCCTTCAAGGGCTGGAAAAACGAGCTGAGGTTTTTGTATTTCCCTTTGTCACACATGCCTTAACCTGGCTGGTGGGTGCATGGAGGAACGTGGGTGGGGTGGCTGAAGCACCCGGGGTGGCAGCAGGTGCTGGAGGGACCTTGGGGTTGAAAATAGGAACAGCCTGTGCTGAGGGGAAGAATTTCCTGTCAGAACAACCCCACAAGGCAGCAACAAGAGGGATTCTCCCCTTGTGCTCAGAACCTTGCCTTCTGAACATCTGTGTGAGCAGGATAGCGCTTAAAAGCCTGTAATTAATGATTCATTTGCACATGTTCTCCATGTTCTCTCCTTAATGATGATGGTCATTAGAGAAGTGCAGTCATTATGGTTTGTTATTCACTGTTGATAAATATGGAGCAACCAAAGACACGATRTGCATCCGAAGCGTTTCCCTTTTCGCCTTTTCTAGCAGGAAAAGCAAAGRGGGAGCGGCACCAGCTCATGGAGGATGGGCCCAAGTTGTTGTTGGCACAGAAGTGAGRGTTTGGGCCATGTTAGCCCAGCATGGAGGCAGCAGGGACAGGCTGGAGCTGC